GTACCAGTATGTCTGTTTGAAAACAGAACATAGGGCTTTTTCGCATTTCACACATGCCTATGTTTTGTTGGTCCTTTTGCAGTCACTTTTTAGAGTGCTTCATGAAGTTAAAGGTTGTTCAAAATGCTTAGAATAATTCCTAAAATATAATTCTATCACATGACGCCACATGCCCTGCGATGACGTCATCTTGACAACACTTGTCAATGTAAATTTTGTCATTGTAGTGTGACGAAACAGGGGTACATGTTTATGAAGACTTGTATAGGAGTCCAAGTCCTAGGAATTATTTATGCGCATGATCTAGGACATTTGGTACGTGCTAATAATGCCGAAGTGTGCGTGGACCAATCACCAATAAATTGCTCTGCGTGATCAGGAGATTAATAAATCATGGTGTACAGTGACCAATCAGCACCGCATATAACAAAGGCTGTGCGTGAATTAGCATGTTATAGCATGGGGTCCAGAGATCATCTCGTTAGTTCGCAAGATGGCGTCAATGCAGTAGGAATGCGTTCTGGTGCTGTTGCCAAGTCGCAAGAAGCCAAGCTTTGGGGTTCAGGGACGAGTCAAGTCGCGATGCCGTTGCTGGGGTCTTCGTTGCTGTTGCGTAATCCCCGGTCGGGAGTAGGAGCTCATCTCTGACGGTGGACGCTCTGGTGCGGCCGGGTTCGGGAGTTGTAGCTCCGGGTTAGTTAGCATTAAGCTACCGGTACGTGTTATCTTAAGTATGTCAGTGGAGTAATTGTAGCTTAAGTGTCGATTATCTGAGATTATTGGGGACAGAGATTTACATGCTTCTACGGAAATTAAGACTGATTATTGTGTCTTGATTAGTGCTACAACAAAAGGGCTAGGAGTTGTAGAACTTGGTTTGAGAGGCTGGTGAGACTGTGACTCGGTGGTACATGTACCGGTAGATTGCTTGTCGTGGGTTGGAAACCATTCGGTGGGGTTTTACGACTGAGGTGATCATTGCCGTAATCATTGAACTAGCTTGCCTGACGAGTTTACTCTTTGCCATGTTCTGAGCACTTGCGAGGGTTAGGGCCTACCTGTTTTGTGTGAGGTTTATTTGCACGTAAGGCTTATATTGTATAACTCAGGTTGAGGGTTACCTATCCTTGTGAGAGGGTCATTGGGACTGCTCGGATTGTGTGAGGGTTATTTGGATTACATACATGTAGTACAGCCTGCTTTGACGCTGAATTGGGTTGAGGGTTACCTTTCCTCTATGAGAGTTATTGGGACAGCTCAATCTGTGAGAGGGTTTTAAAGCTATTTTGACCGTTGACCCTATAACTGTAGGTCAAACAAAGAGGTCACAATTGACATTTTGTAATGTTTGCCCAAGGCCAACATGTTTGACATGTAGCAATACTTTTGAAATTTGACCTATTTTGACCTTTAACCCATAACTGTAAGTTAGACGAAGAGGTCACCATGTACATTTTGAATGTTTGACCAAGGCCAACATATTGACAGCGCTGTTTTTGGTCATGTGATGGGGCTGGGCTACTGATACATTTGACAACGTTTGGGTGAAATCAGATTAACTAACTGACTGGCTCCCCGACTGACTGACTCCCCGAATCCCCTAACGGAGCGACATGACGATTTGTTGAGCTACTATTCACAGCTAAAAACTACATGTAGAGATTGAGGTTGTAACTGAACAACTGTAACCAGGTCGGGTTTCAGTACTTACTTTTACCCGACAGGTTCCTTACTCAAACATTCATTTCATAACTTTGTAACTTCGTGTTTGTGTCATTTCACATGTCAGCAGCCATTGCGATCATGCTTTTTGCCAGCGCCCTCTTGAAGCCAACTTAACTTTTTTTAGCACAGCGCGCGCCACCAAGAATTTTGCCCGCTACTTTTTAAAGCATGCAAAGGGCGTAGCGAGCAGGCGAGTTTTACATTCTACGCGCTTTGTTTAAGTTAGATAGCTGGCATTCCGGGCGTTTTGTATAGTTTTCTTGTAGGGCTAGCAGCGAAATAAACTTTGATTACGATCCAACACCTCGTTGCAGCAGACCATAATTTTCTGCGAGCACTGTACACTCCACTTTTTCTGCAAATTTTGGGTGCGGCTCCCCATTGTAGCAGCAATAAAATTTTATATCCAGCGTTGCCGGCATTGCAGTTTGCAATATTTTTGCTGCTTCTGCATTAATTTTAACATTGAGCACGGAGACTAGGAAGGCATGAACGTAGATCATCCCAAGTGGTGAGTAAATCCCTTGTGTGTTATTTAACTTTTTATGCCAAATTTTTTTATGCCTGAATCTTTTTATGCCAGTCATTTTTATGCAACATTCTGGACTTTTGTATATTTCTTTATATTGCCAGAAGTTAAGGCCGTCGAAACAACACAGCCAGAAATAAACATTTGTGATCACGACTTTAACAAAATAATAACTTTCGAATTAAATCTGTTTGTCGTGACATTACATTGTTACATGTATGTGAATCAGCAATTCCCATATGATTCACTATCAAATTCCTGCATAAGTGGCAGGGCAAGAAGGATTTTCAGTTGACTGTATTTTATGCTTAGAACATTTATTTAAACACATTATTGCCTTCTATTTTAATATTTTTTTGCGCAATTCCGAAAAACAATGTTAACAAGTACTTTAATTTTATGAATCTCCATTTTTCCTTTTGAAACAAAAACAAATTTGTAACTTTTGCGCAACACGAGCAAGCAAACGTTGACTGAAATCTTAGCATTGCTATAATATTCACTTTCACATTTATTATTTGAAATAGACTTTCCCATTCTCCCAAAAATATCTGTTTTCTTTAAAGTCCAATGGGTATTCAGAAATTTGTTATTAGGGCATGGTATATATTCTTACTTCATTATTTTATACATGTAACATTATTTGGTGAAGAATTCATTTCTATTTTCGGAATTAAAATTGCACTATTGTATATACAATATTCTTATTCTTATAGTTGCCATTGCGAATAATTCTTCTATTTGAGCAAAATGGTAAAAACTTCCACTTACTGATGTATTTATAAAAAGTATTCTTTGATTTAAAAATAAGGAAAACAGTGTTTCCCCAAATTACTTTGAATTTAATGTCTTTAATAATGTACTTTGACCTGAAAGCTTTCCCATAATTCATTAGTCATTTATTGTTTGTAGTTTCAGATCATTGGATAGATCTAGACAGCTTCAATTCCCTTTTGACTGTCGTTCTATATACCCAAGTTCTTTATACCATAATTCTTTTGTAAATACCTGATAATTTGTATTGTCTCATATTGTGCTGTAAATAAAATATTTTGATATTATTGAGACATCCAGAAAACTTCGCTCCACCCAAATTATTTTAAATTAGTGGAACTACTCGGTTGAGAGGAGAGCCAACCATACTACCGTACACTTATTTATTTAGCTCTCCCCAGTTACACAACTACAAAGCTGTTCCCAGAATGTTTTGGTAGGCTACAATTAAGGATTAAATGATTTATCAAATAACTGTCACTTTTAAAATTTATATTAAATCTTTATTCATAAATACCAAAGACAGTTTACCCATTCCCATTGGTCAAAAGCCTGTCACGTGGCTGGTCTTAAATGGATGATAAAGACATAACTGACTGGTCTTAAACACTTTTCCAGTGTCACATGAAATTTGAACTCCTATGAAATCTAGTGCCTTTTACCATTTTCTTGGTTGAATGTTCACAATCCTCACATAAGCATGCGCAATACTACCAGTAAATCAGTATTTTATAGTCCTAAATTCACAACGCAATGCCCAGGTGCATTCTGCGCAACATCGCGCAGTATGCCCGACGCATGCGCCAATCTTAATAAAAGGAGTTGTTTACATCTTAGTCGCGAGCTGGACACTCCAGTATTTAGCAAGAGGGGTGTTTCACAAAATATGAAGTGAACTTGTTGAACAAAAACGGTTTTACACCGAAAAGTTTTGAATTTTTTTTTACTGAAAAGGCAGGCCTATTTATGAATGGGAATAAATACATACATGTGTATACTCAGTGTGTTACCTCCCGAGTGAAAGTCACTCGGGTGGAACTCGAACCCACGACCTCCTGCTTTCTAGTGCAGATGTCTTACCACTCGACCACCGAGCTAACGGGATCGGTTGGCCGGTTCGAATCTGATGTACATAGCAGCGGGTACCGCATAAACTATTATAAGATGGAATTTTTGCGCCGGGGTGATATTATTCAAATTAGGTTTTGCCCTTCACAGACGTATTTTAAACACTGTATACTCAGTGTGTTACCTCCCGAGTGACAGTTGGAAAAAATCACTCGGGTGGGGCTCGAACCCACAACCTCCTGCTTTCTAGTGCAGATGTCTTACCACTCGACCGCCGAGCTAACGGGATCGGTTGGCCAGTTCGAATCTGATGTACATTAAAACCTCCAACACATATTTATTCCCTTGATATAAGTTTTAACAAACATCCAAAAGCTAGAGAAAAACACAAAATACTATGGGCTATGTACACAAGTAGCCCCCTACGTTACGAAAGCAAGTTGGGGGAGATCACTGGGAGAGATTTTCCAACACCTTGGTGACAACGCCTGACGCTCATGCTAAGAAGCTACAAGTACATGTACCGGTATGGTTTTGTGAACATTCAGAAAAGAATTAGTTGTGTACTTTGCACTAAATGCATCATTATTGATTATGAGACTTGATATTTAATTAACTCCTGGAGTGCAAAAAAACGTATATAAAGTTACATAAATACATCGTTAAAATGACAAGCAGCCTCTTTTTGTCTCAAAATCCATTTGAATTACTTGTTCTCTTCCATTAACAAAACCTCAAGCTGTACAACATTCATGTACACGTATGCCCTTCATGTTCTTTTAAAAGAAGGGCAACAAATCAAGAAAATTCAAAATTACAAAATGGTGCCACTTAAAAAAGTCTTGTAAGACATAATAAACTGCAGTAATGGCATTACACTGCGTTTAATGAAAACAATACTCACTTATTGAATTGAGGTAGGCCAGTGCATCTTGTGTGGCTGGTGGAGGTATACATGTAGCATTTGGAATAACTTCAACTCCACTGTGAAAAATACATATACACATTCAAATTATACACAGTTATATACCATAATATATCTTTGTTGTAGTACGCATATTTGCACTCCCGACAGTTTACTTGTACTTATACTCAAGGAAATGTACGACTACAGCACCAGCACTGCAATGTAAACAATATACATGGGCAGTTCCTGCCGACGTGGACATCGGCATAAAAATATCATATGAATTATTTACATATTTGCAAAAGAGATACCTAAAGTTCACTTTGATATTATCTTGATTTTTTCCTTTCAGTTAATTTGTTTGGGATTTTGGATTTTGAATAAGTACTTACCGGTAGGTATAATAAAACGTTTGAATAATGAACAAGGTGGATCTTATACCACGTGTCTTGCCTGCTTTCGAGATTATCTTTAAAGCGCAACCAAGTTTTCAAATGAGACCAATCTTACATTTTACATCAGGAGTAATTATAACTAGATGTTTGTGTACAAACCGACGGCTGTATCGGTAATTTGTTATTGTATTTTCATGTCATGTAGGACTGATAGGACATGTGCGGAAGAGTGATCAAGACCAATACAGTTAAAAGTGCATATTTTGAAGGCCAATACCTGTATTGGCCTTCAAAATATGCACTTTTAAGATGCAGTCACATGTCACATGATGACGTCATCGTGACTTAACTTAAATTTTCATCTTTAACACATCCCGGGTAGGTACATTTGTACATACCAACTTTCAACCCAATTCCGAAGCCCTCCGCGAAACGGAAAACGGACGGAATTTCACGGAAAATAAGGTAAAGGACAACACGGAATTCACAAAATTCTATATTAAACTGCCAAAAAAGATACATGAAAACTTGAAAAGGAACCTAACACATGTTAACAGTTTTTGTAGTGTCAGTCTTCAATTCTTTCTTACCAAATGAACATCGCAGCGGTACTCAAGTGATCACATGTCCAAATGCACGCACGTTATGTACAACGTGATGCGACATCAGCATCACTGGTACCACGGCAGTACTACAGGGATTTGTATTTCATTAAGAACCAGTGAGTTTGTGTCAAAATGCAAATTGCTAGTCTTGGTTCTACGACGCCTTTCGCAGTGCCCGTCTGTGCAGTGCGCACACGCACGGTATCATGCGATTCAACATGCGGAATGACCGCAAAAGAACATCTTGAAACCAGTACTGTCACGTAGCCCGCATTATACAACAAATCCTAAACGGCCCACTAGGCTCTCACCCATGCACAGTGGTCCCTTAAGTGTTAACAAAAATATATACCGTCGATAATCTTAAAAAGAATGGGAAATGCAGGTCATTTATACCATGTGCACAATGCTAGTTACGACGAGAAACTGGCTAACAATGTCTGAATTTCGCTTGGTACGAACGTGCGATGATGCACTGTGTGTTGTGGACCGGCAGTGGGCCGGCATTGAGCTTCGTTTAACGGTATGTGATTTCGTTGAAACTCCTGCATCGTTTCACTTCATATACCAGTAGTATTTCCTCGAAATAAATTCATGAACCTGGGAAATACATACACAGACAAGAGAGATCAAGTTCTGTGAGTATAAGCTTGCAAAGATCGTCTTTCTCCATCGATGTTTTCTTGGCATTTAACGATGTCTATTCCGCGCCGTCCGGCCTGCATGCAACCGTACTGCAGTGTGAATATGCACCGCGCATGACTATTGCATTGACTGGTTACCGCATTTCCATCTTGCCAGTGCGTGGCGCAGTGGGAACCAGTCACTGCTGCAATAGCACGTACAGGCCCACGTGTTTTCATACATCAAGCAGCTCTGTATGTACACGTACATGTACGTGCAACTGGCATGACTGGCGCGTTGGCCCGAGGCAGCTTTGTTGCGTTTTGGCACGGCACAGACAGTTTTTTGGCCGGTAATTTTAATCAATCAAGTAATAATATGAACTCAAAGCACACTATTAACCAGACCTCAACTGCTAGTATATTTGGGGGTCATTTTAGTGCAAGAAAAAAACACTAGACAGCCAGACTAGTGCAGTCACACACAGCACTAGACCGACACCGAAATCACTAGACACGGTCCACGGTCCAGTGGATATTTCGAGCCCTGGTATATGTCCTGGTCAATAGTAGAGCTCCTCGGGCCCATTATTTTTGCCCAAACCGTGCCCAAATTTGTAATAAGAGCATGAAATACGGCGTGCAGATCCAAAACGGTCTGAGAAACATTTTAAGAGGTGGACCCACCTTGAAGCCTTCCAATTTGGGGGCGGAGCTTGATTTTTTTTTCAAAAGGGGGTGAAAGGAATAAAAACTCAGAGGAAGTATATTATTAAACATCAACCTCGTGCCCCGTGGGTACAATCTTGCAGCGCCATGTTGTTTCCCATCATGCCTTGCACGATTGTAACCCCTGGAATTGTGTAATTTAAATGTACCAAAATACAGTACATTATAATTAGGGCTGCAGTTTATCCGTTTTATGTGCCGACGCCATCTTTAAAATGTTAAAAGTTGTGATTTTGAAGAATCAATCCTTTCAAACACAACAACTGGATGTTGTGTTATTTAGCAAAGATTTGTATTAAATGTACGTACCCCTTTCGTGCCTTTACAACCACAGATACAGGTTTTTTTTTTAGCAAAAACAAGGCTGACATAATCCATATCGTACAGGCATCACGACTTTTGAATCCTATTTTTTTTTTCGTACGTGACGTTACGTGCAAAGCTAAGCACGCGAGCACGAACGCATCATGGGCGCGCCCGGCGGGCAATCTTCGAAATGCCCGCGCAGTACGCTGTGAATAGCTATTCAGCGTCATTTACGTCATCATCACAGCCAGGGGTTAGTGTAAGGAACGAACACGCGCCCCTGTAGTCGAGGCTGATTAAACATTCATTTTCCTTCTTTTTCCATGCCTTGAAATAAATTTGGACATGATATAAAACATTCTAGCATTTTAAAAGTCATATTTTTCGCCCAATTTGTGGGGGTGGCCTAAATGTGTAAAGGGGTGATGTATACGAGTGGTTTGATCCGATTGTGACAAATATTGTGCATTTTCGTGGCATTAAAATTGGCAGGCCTGTTTGAACTTAAAATGGGTTTAACATATGTTTACGAGAGGGATCCACTTTGGAATTTGCCCACTGTGGGGATGAGCTTTATTTGAAAAGGGGTGCACAAAATCTAGAAAACTGTATTATGTGCTTTAATCAGTGCCCTTTGGGTCTACATGCTTTCAAATAGGCGTAGCATATGAAATATAAACATGTTAACGCTAAATACTTGTTACTGTCACTCATTTGGTGGACGTGGCTTAAATTCTAGGCAATTTATGGAAGCACCTTGATTCAAACGATGCCAAAATCGTCATTTTGGTGGTAAAAACACAAATTCTGTGTTTGTAAACTATAGTTTTACAATAAAATGTAAAGACAATATTAAAACTAAAAGTAACAGGCGTTCACCCCTCCTCCCCCCCCCCCCCCCCTTTTTAAGCAACATGTCAAGGTAGGGGGATTAATATTCGATACATTTTTGTACTGGTTCAAAGTGCTTTAATAGTGATCCATCATTCAAATATTTCATATTAAAGGCCTCAAGCTAATATAACCTACATGTATGTGTACATCTTAATCAACTGTCAAGAGTCAAAGAGCATCCTTAAATGCATGTAGGAACTTTTGCATTTAGTAAAAAGAGTACATATCGATTAACGATAAATTCTTTGCCTAAATTAAGTTTGGGAAAGTGTATGAAAGTGTTTCGCCTGAACTTGTATAATTTAGAAGTGAAAAAAACGTTGAAGGTGGTTTTAGAAAATTTCCCACGTGCTGTATTTATATCAAGCTATCCAGCAAATGTTGGCGGTATCCCAATCTGTCAATGTCTTTTTTCAATGAGAAGGCGCTTGTTAGAAACCATAAACAATGCAATATAGCAGGGATTACACCCAAAGTCGTTACAAATTATCAAATAAACCACAACAGGAAACTGACTGCATTTATGTAGACTCTTGACAGGTGATATAATGTAAATCTACTGCTACAGGATACTAGAACTAGTAGAAGCTCTAAATCAGAAATATTTAATTGAAGTAGATTAAATTACTTTGAGTCAGTATGCATACTATTCTTCCCCTACCATGTAGGGCTACTTTAAAATGTAGCACCACAAAAGGGGCAAAATGCTATACATTTGACATGGTCTTTACAGTGTATTGTAAAAGACTAGTGCAGGGACAGTCGAAAATGTGCGTGTTCGGAAGGGGCAGTTGAGAACTGCAGCTCGTTCAAACAACGCACATTATTCAATGGTGTGAACGCACACTCGCAAGTTAAACGCACAAAATGTCGTCACCCCCCTGGCACTGATATTTACCCCTACTGGACAATATGGTATCGCCCTACAACTGTAGGGCGTAGTTGTAGGGCGATACCATATTGTATAAGAGTTGCTCAGTCGACCGCCTACATACAGTGCAGTGATGGTTGCTCAGTTGACTAAAAAATGCATGTGCCCGTGCATGCCACTCACGTATATGTACGTACGAAGACATGGTGTGCAGTGCTATCGCCCTACAATGTGCCCGTCCTTTTTGCACTGTTTGCGTCACATTGAGCACGCGCGCTTTAGCTCGAACATGACGTAAACAATTGAAAAGAACCCCATGATGTGCCCGTCCTTTTTGCATTGTTGCGTCATATTGAGCACGCGCGCTCTTGCTTTAACATGACGTAAACAATTGAAAAGAACATCAGTGCGCGGAGTTCTAGGCTATATTCTGGCGCGCTAGGTCTCAGAAAATACTGCTTTTTTGCAGCTTTTCGTGCAAACAACGCACACGATTATGAGGAAGAAAAGTGTACCATTGTTTATTTACCCTCTATTGTACATGTCGTCATCCCCTGGCACTGATATTTACCCATACTGGACTATGGTATCGTCCTACAGTAAAGCTTGCTCAGTCAGTCGCCTACAGTAATTGTTGCTCAGTCGACGACAAAA